AATTCCAAGGATATTATGAAATGATATTGCCATGGACGAAGTGGACCATTTCTAGGACTGACGATGGCTACATTTATCCTCAATTAACTGGGCGTATCCGACAACCATCGACGAATTATGGTAGGCTGCATAAAATATGAAAGGGTCGAACTATAAGAAGGGACACTAAGATCACTAATCTGAACGCAGCCGTATTCACAGTGCTCTCGCACAGACTCGAAACATCCGTCGTCCCGAAGCGTCATCCTGGAGCTTGTTTAGACAGCTTCCAACAGCGCTATCTGCTCAGCATTCTCAAAGTGCGATCGTACTATTGGGTCATGAACGAGCAGGTGCAGAGAAAACCATCAGATGAACTCAGAAATCGGCGGCTGGCTTAGTTTGATAGAAAGAGCCGAAAAGAGAATGGTGATATATTCAAAACTTTCCTTAATTGAGAACTGCGCCCGAACTTGTCGGGGAGGAATGTTACCTTAGTCACAGAGGTAAACGCCGCCTAACATTAATCTGACATAACATTTTTGATTGTTATACACCATAAACCTGGGCTACTCTACTGTTTGAGCTATGTTAGCCTCAGATGACGAACAAAAAATAATAACAACCGACTGACAGAAGCTCAGGAGATGGCTAAGAATCGGCTGGGGTAAGTTGCTCGGCAAACTCTGCTACGGACTTGGGATATTTGCCAAAGCACAAAGCTGGGACACATTTGGGAACGTTGGAAGCATTGCCTGTGCTTCTGACTCAGCGTTCGAAAAGGACATGAAGTAATCGAAACTGACTGATTGATAGACTGAAATTAATGGAGCAGTGAATTTCGAGAATATGGAACGTACATTACCTACTCCGCAATCTGTCAGTGTGCCTGCATGATGTGACAAAAAGCATATGCCAAATACTAGAAAGATATTAGATAGTTGAAAACTTGTATCTTTTAGAAATACTGCGCTGGCAGTTTATTGACTCTCAGCTACTTAAGCAATGCCAGTGAAACATAAGTCGAGACGTACATTGCAAAGTAGTTAGTGCGTTTCCTAGTAAACTGCTAGTAGAACACGTCTAGCAGAATGCT